TGTTATGCCATATTTCCAGGGTACAATGTAAGAGATAACCTGGAAATTCCAGGGAGGGGTTGTGTTATAAGTTATTTCCAGGGTATCATGTAAGAGATAACCTGGAAATTCCAGGGAGGGGTTGTGTTATAAGTTATTTCCAGGGTATCATGTAAGAGATAACCTGGAAATTCCAGGGAGGGGTTGTGTTATAAGTTATTTCCAGGGTATCATGTAAGAGATAACCTGGAAATTCCAGGGAGGGGTTGTGTTATAAGTTATTTCCAGGGTATCATGTAAGAGATAACCTGGAAATTCCAGAGAGGGGGTTGTGTTATAAGTTATTTCCAGGGTATCATGTAAGAGATAACCTGGAAATTCCAGGGAATGGGTTGTGTTATAAGTTATTTCCAGGGTATCACGTAAGAGATAACCTGGAAATTCCAGGGAGGGGTTCGAAAAGTTTGGATTGTCCTCTATAGGGGGTGTGTGGATATAAAATGCAATAAGCCAATGATATGAAGGTAAGATCAGTGATGTTGAAACTTGAAAATGATTTGGAGTGTTTATATGAGAGACTGGTAAGTTTCAGTTGTATGTCTTTTTATATGGCACAGAAATTCCAACTTGGAAAGTAAAATAGTGGTGTTTATGGACATCTGAGATGTGCTATAACATAAAAGTATGTCTTTTGAATGTAAAAGACCCAAAAAATATCACATCCAAAATGTTTTGTTACCTCTTAACAAAATATAACCAAAATGGGTAAAATATTAGCTATATTCGCCATTTTTCGATAGGCAGTCATATTCAATGGGGCCAAAAAACAGCATTTTGGATGTGCATTTAACTTTTTTGTTATTTTTAGGTTAAAGAAAGATAAAATTTACTAAAAATAAAACTTATAGGATAATGGCAGTTAATCGACAGAATTTCTGAGGGGTGCACCTTATCAGCGCACTCCCGGTCATATCAACATGAAAACCCCCCAGTACAAATAGGGTTAAACGTATAAAGATCAGAAACAGATTGTTAACGTACCACAAGAAAATCTTTAATTTTATTGAAATTCTTTTATGTCTGCTCTTGTCTGTTCACCCCTATATCACTGTAACATAAGGTTCATACCCCTGTCCCTATATGCAACATAAGGTGTTCAAACTTCATTAAGTAGTAATTACAACCACATTCTGTACTTGCCTAAACCCAACACTAACGCTTTAAAGCGTAGCTTTAGTTACAAAGGTGCTGCAGCTTGGAACGGTATTGAACCTCATAGAAAGATTTGAAATGTATAATTTTATAAGATCACTTTTTTAACATTTTTAACATTATACCTATAAATCATGTGTAACATGATACTGTAATTAAAGTAATGTAAAACTGGCATGCTCTATGAAATCTAGTCAGAGTGAGCATGCACCCTGAGAGAGAAGGTTGCACATGTAAGAAGTTATAAAATAAACTGTTAAAACTGAGTGTGTTATTTACGGTGCCTCGCTACGTTACAACTGGTGGCAGCGGTAAAATAATAAAAAAAGACGACGTCAACGAAGATGGCTTCGAGCATTCTC